ATAATCATCGTTATTAACTACGTTCAAAACATTTACCACATTATTATTATTATTATTATTAAGACTATTAAGATTATTATTTGATTCCCAAAATCACCGTCATTGGTTAAAATTTTATATATAAATCTATGTAAATTAGAGTAAAGCCTGAAGAAGATCTAATTGAAAACAATATTGTACACTTAGGTTTGACGATTCAATTCGTCACTTTTTCAGTACCATAGAAGTAGAAACGATTTGTAATCCCGGTTGAAGGTAGACATATCTGAATATGTGCTAATGTTACATATTATGAAGCTGGACGGCGTAGACAGGATAACAGAACATATTTATAGCTTAGGTAGAGAGATGATTTGGATGTGGTTGCGTCCTCCAAGCTGGGTGGTTTGGTTGCGGAGCTTTCATTGTCTATCTTGACAACATTTTTATCACATACTTATTTGAATTATCCGTAAATGATATAACTGAAGGCTACGCTGTGAAGGTGTTGTCTAGAAGGACAAAACCGCCCAGCTCCCGTCAAACGTAAGATGGTGCTACAGGACTGAATTGCATTGACTTCTGGCTCAAAGATAGGAAGTGAAGTGGTAGAGCGCGTTGATCACTTCACTGATTTTGGAAGTTGCATCAGCTTCAGTGGGTTAATCGTCGACGAAATCTCAACACGGATATATAAGGGTCGTTTGGTACTCGCCAACATACGCCATCTCTGGAGTAGATGTGATCGATAAAATGACGTATGTACTGCTCAGCAGTTCGCTCCGTTCTCTTTTTATGTCTGTGAGACATAGCCATTGAGAGTGGAAGACATGAAAAGGTTAGCTGTCTTTGATCATAGGTGTCTGCGTTCTATCTCCCGTATTAAGCGGTATAATAGAGTGAGCAATATTGAGATTAGCCATCGAGTGCTAGGTAAAGAGGGGAAATCAATCGACAAGGCTGTAAAGTCACACCGATTGAGATAGTTAGTACATTTATTACGCATGTATCCTAGCCTAGCCATCGCCTTCCTCAACCGACAGGCATTGTTAGCTGACATGGGATGGATCAGTTTGGAGAAGAGCCAGCGGCGGTCAAACCAAAGCCACGTAAGGAGTTGTAGAATTCCCGACTAGTTCGGGTCCTCTGGCTTAAAATCGTTCTCAATGGCACAGATGCATGCACGTCTTGTGATTTTTAAAATATCCAATGAAACTATATTGTTCTTCCATATTACTATTCTTTTTGCCTCATATCTCTTCTTACTTTCTTCTCTTGCTTTGTGTGCTGCATAGAGGAAGTGGGGCAACTCGAACTGCTGCACGTCTGTGCAAAGTTCTACGTTGAAACCAGTCAGTCAGTTAGTCAGTATTTCTAAAGTTTGACTCTGGCGCAGCTGTCATTAAAAAGGTTTTCACTAAAAGGTCTCATTATCCGTAATTGGTCGACTGAATTTCTAGCGGTACAGAGAAATACTGCTTTATGATTTGATGTAGTGTTCAAGAGAACACTTTCCATGATTATTTTAATATAAAACAATTTAAGGAAAATAAAAATCTGTTCACATACCACGAACTTGATAAATTAATTATATGAAAAGTGAAAAGTATGCAAAAAAATCTATCAGAAATATAAGCATAAATAATAAGCGTGATTGATCTATTTAGCTTGCATAACAAGTTTGCATGTGACCGGATCATACTACCATTAATATATTGCATGTTTATTATAATTTTCAACTTCCTATTGTTTTTTGGTGTGTGTGGGAAAGTTATTTCATGCATACTAATATTTCAAAAAGTTGCATTACAAACCATGTAATTTAAACAAAAGATTTTTTCACTGCTAAATTCGCTTGAATAGTTTTATGGGATGAGGGAGGGGAGATTAAATTAATAAACTGCTCAACAGAGTATTACAGGATTTCATCCTGAACTGACATTGGTTAGAGAACCATTAGAAAACCTGGGAGTACTGGACAGCAGTTTCGTTCTAGTTCGGAACTGTGCAGCAGTACGCACACCACCGGGGTTCGAACCCAAAACCTTCTGGTTACAAGGCCGGCGAGCTCGTAGACCATTTAGCCACTGGGACCAGATCCAATGGCCCATGAATTCTAACTTCTGCCAATTCACGACATAGCCCGACCGCTAGCCAATGTCTTCGGTGAGTATTTGTCCTCATAACCAACCTGCTGCACCCTACTGGTCATGACTTCTCACTAGAACCCCAGGTAACTACCTACCTGAGTAGGGCCAGTCGCCGGTGAGCATCTCATCGATGTTCAAGTATTTGTTTCTAGGGTTTTGATTGATTGGTTACAGGATTTCATCATGGGCTGAGTTCTAGTGGGAAGTCGTGACCTATAGGATGCAGCAGGTTGGGTGTGAGGACAAATACTCGCCGAAGATATTGGCTAGCGGTCGCGCTATATCGTGAATTGGCAGAAGTTAGAATTCATGGGCCATTGGATCTGGTCCCACTGGCTTAATTGTCTACGAGCTCGCTGGCCTTGTAACCAGAAGGTCCTGGGTTTGAACCTCGGTGGTGTGTGCGCACTGATGAAGAGGCCCAAACTAGGACGAGACAGCTGTCCAGTACTACCAGATTTTCCAATAGTTCTCTAACCAATGTCAGCTCATGATGAAATCCTGCAACCAATCAATCAAATCCCTACAAACCAATACTTGAATATTAAACTAGTATTGTTTGTACAAGTTCAGTTATATGGCAGTTACTTGTGTACACTATTTACTTCAATCATTTTTAATAGTTGAAAAAGGAGCATATAGAAAATACATTCTTGTTTTGACTCAGTGGTATGCTTCTTAGTGTAAGGTGGTATTCGCTGTGCACTGTATCCATTTTTTTTTAATAACTCCTCAAGTCCGCCAAACAGTATCGAATTATGACATGAAAAATTAGGCAACCTTTTTAAAGTTCGTTGTCTAAGAGTGTGTACAATCGAACTGGTGACTAGTGAGAGTATAGCTTAACAGTATCTTGAGTTTAAAATACCAAAAAGACCCCACATTGTGCATCCGTCGCTTGATTCTATAGTTGACTTTCATGAAATGAAAGAAATTTAAGAAATCAAGACGCACCTCTATGTGATTTCGATTCGCAGGGAAGTTAACCTTTACGTCAATCGAATGATCCCTACAAATTCAAGAACTTGGTCACCTAAAGAAGCTATTTAGTTTCATGTTGAGTTTATTCCCATTACTGGTCTATTCAACGACGATTGCTGCAGGATTGGGGTTATTTTTATTAGTGAAATATATAACTGAAACATTATTATTGTCATTATTCTCTTGGATTCCGAGTGGATCATAGGGCTTTAACAGCAGATCTCCACTTTGCCCTTTTCTCTAAGGTCCCATTTAGCTGACTTCATGATTGTTCATGAGGTTTAATCTCCGCCTCAGGCTGTCTTCTCCATGTCACACTTAGACCGCAGCCCAACTTGCCGTTTCCCACTCGGGTTCTACTCAAGCGCTGCTTGGTGAACGATGTCACCCAACGGTTTCTTCAGCGTGTATCTGATCCATCTCCATTTTCTTCGGGTTGTTTGTTGCGCAATAGGTTCTTGTTGTTAATTCTTTCTGACCTGCCATCTTACGGAATCCTTCGAAGTGAGGACAGGAGTAAGACAAGGCTGCCTACTATCGCCAATGATTTTCCTGATTGCAGTAGACTGGATAATGCGACAAACAGCGGGCAATGAGGAAACAGGCATAAAATGGACACATACAAAAAACTTGGAGGATCTGGACTTCGCCGATGATATATGTCTGACTTCCCACAAAATGGAAGATATGCAAGCGAAAAGCAACAAGTTGGCAGAAGAAGCATCAAAGATAGGACTTCAGGTGAACATAGATAAAACAGAGGTGATGAAGATTCCTGGGCAACACCACCACCGCCAACAACAGACGACAATCAGCATAAATGGAAGGGACCTAAAAGAAACGACCTCTTTTACCTACCTGGGAAGCATCGTTTCAACTGCAGTTGGAACTGACGAGGATATCAAAGCAAGAATCGGAAAACGAAGACAAGCTTTCACTACTCTCAAGTCTGTGTGGAGGTCAACAGCATTCAGCATTAAAAATAAGATCCGGATTTTCAACTCCAATGTGAAGTCAGTCAGTGCTACTATGCGGATCAGAGACTTGCACTGCGCGTCATAAAGAGCATCTCAAACAAACTACAGACCTTCATTGACAGTTGTCTTCGCTCAATACTCAATATCAGATGGCCGGCCAGAAAAGATCAGCAACAGGGATCTCTGGGAGCAAACCAACCAGGAATCAATTGTGAAACAAATAGGCAGGAATAAATGGGGATGGACTGGCCATACTCTGAGGAAACCATCAAGTGACATCACTAGACAACCCCTCGAAAGGGAAGCGGCGAGTTGGTCGTCGGTGCGAGGGTGACTTGGAGGAGGTCATATGAAGAGGAGATGAAAACGTGTGGGCAGACTTGGAGCCAGGTGAAGACTCTAGCAGGGAACCGAACGCAATGGAAACGCACGGCTGAAGCCCTATGTTTCTCTAGGAATTAAAGGATACAATAATAATAAATAATCTAATCTTCAGTATGGAGCGAAGGCAGCTGTTGATAAAAGTGTACACCACTCTGTTGGAAATGATTTTGGTGACGCGCAAAGTTTCTGACCCATGTAGAAGATCTGACTTGACATTGGTGTTGAAAATCCAAATCTTGTTCTGTATGCTGCTAAGTGCAGAAGATTTCCAAACTGATTTCAGAGTGATGAATTCCTGTCATGCCTTTCTGATTCTGGTTATGATATCCTCATTCGTGTCATTTGTAGTTACAGCATGTAATGAATTTATTTTATTTGAAGGAGAGATTAGTGTTATGCAGTACATGTTTTTGACATGAGCAGCTGTATATTCTTAGTTATCTTCTCACCGTTATATTAGAATGAACCACTGAAATGCCATAGATTTATATTTATTCTCCTTGTTTTTTTAATAAATTCTTATTCTTAGGATTCATCTCAAGGGAATAGCATCTATCAGCTGGATATGATCAAGCGTATCAAATCTTCATATCCCAATTTACAAGTAATCGGAGGCAATAGTAAGACAAGTTTTTTCTTTCATTTTTGTTACTACTAGTACAACCATTTTGTATTGATTTTCATTTTTCTTCGAACTCAACCTTTTACATCAAAACAGCTGAAAATTCCAGCATTCTGAAGATAAATATTGTGAGACAATGTCATTTCGTAGTTTCTCTACAATCACGTTATAACTAGCATGATTGATAATTGACAGTTAATCAGTTTTATGATTTAGAAGTGGGTAGTAATAAGCAATCTTTGTTTGATAGGTCAACTGGTCCAGGGTAAGGAAAGGCTGAAATCTGTTGTCTTCTGTACACATACTGTAGAATGCTTAAGATAATTGTAAAATGCTACCATCACCTTTAATAACCTTGACTACGAGATAATTGAGAGGTAGTCATGAATACTGATTTTGTGATCAGACACTAGTAAATGTTTTACGATGGATGATGCCAGACTTTTATCCGGATTAAGTGACTAAATAACCACTTAGGGATATGTTCTTGCAATGACACTGAAATGTTCCATTTGTTTTACGTACTTATATTATTATTATTCCCTTGGCTTCCTAGTGGAACATAGGGCTTCAACTACATGTCTCCACTTGCTTCTGTCTTCTGCTGTACTTTTCACCTGCATCCATGTTAATCCATACTGTTTTAACTCCTCTTCACACGATTTCCTCCATGTCACCCTTGGACATCCCACTCGCCGCTTCCCTTTCGGATTCCACTCGAGCTATGGCCTGACGCGCGATTTCACTCAGCGGCCTCCTCAGCGAGTGTCCAATCCATCTTCACTTTCTCCTGAATATTTGTTGGGCGATTGGTTCTTGTTTTGTTTTGCACATATGCGTCCACGCAACTTTAAATAAACTTGCATATATATAGTATGAAGTTGGGTTCATATAGTTTTGTCTCTTAATGGTGGGTAAATGAAGTGAAAATGGTCGAGAGGTAAGGAAAAGGGATACAACGTAGGATGTGCACTTGTCAGCCTGTTAGTTACGTGATTTGATCATTCTTCAGTCTTGCTTTGTAACGGAAGCTCTCTTTTCTTTAAAGATTAGTTTCTCTTTATTGTGACACACAAAGACGTTTTCAAGATATCTACTAGCCAGCAAAATTGAATGTATGCACCGTATTCCATCAGTGCTGAAAATCTTATGGATATTTAACTAGGAGACGTTTGTACTGGATAGGAAAAAAAACTGCTGAAATGAATATATTGTCCACTTTAAATCTGCTTACGAAATATCGATCGCCTTATGATTCCATAATATCGTCTAGTCATTGAAATGTTCAGGAAACCAAATTTGTTATTGAATTCATATACTGAAGTCGCTTGAATATTTGGATAAATGCTAATGAAATAAAGTAATAAAGTTGTTAATAAACTGCTCATTATTGTTATCAATAACGAGTGTATCGTTCACATAGCGTTTATAGGGTATAAAATTGGTTAACGTACCTTCCATTTGTTTCTCCAACTTCTACATCTTCTACACATCTTCTAAGAAGGCTTAAGATGGTTTCCCAGTTCAACATTGACAGTTTGTTTATAGGTTTCTCCTTGGAAGTTGAATTTAATATCCTCTGTACATGTTGAAGTATTTTGCCGTGATATAAGTGATTGGTAAAGACACTTGAATTCTATTGTTTGTGTCGTGTTTGTGAATGGAATGGAATCAACAGTCTCGTGAACTGAAACATTATTGAATAAAGAATCGTATGTCAGTTGATCACATAACATTTCCTTTCACTTACTTGGGAAGTACCATCAGCCCCGACGGGTTGATCTCTGAAGAAATCTCAGCACGGATACAGAGGGCTAGTTTCGCATATGCCAGTTTACGCCGTCTCTGGCGTAGACGTGATATCCGTCTATCGACCAAAGGACGTGTATACCGCTCAGCAGTCCGCTCCATCCTCCTTTATGGCTGTGAGACCTGGCCATTGAGAGTGGAAGACATGAAAAGATCGACTGTCTTTGATCATAGGTGTCTGCGTCCAATCTCCCGTGTGAAGTGGTATAATAAGGTCAGCAATATTGAGGTTAGGCATCGGTCGAGTTGTAGGTAAGGAGGGGAAATCAATCGACGAGACTGTGAAATTACTTCGACTGAGATGGTTAGGACATGTGTTACGTATGCCTAGTCATCGCCTACCTCGACCTACGGGCAATGTTGGTCGATATAGGGTCAGGCTGGAAAAGAGCTAGAGGCGGTCAAACGAAAACATGGCACCAGTCAATGAAATCTACAACAGTAAGTCTAGGCCACGTAGGAAGGTGTAGACTTCCTGACTGGTTAGGGTCCTCGGGACGGTATAAACCAATGGTTGGAAACAATTGGTTATATGGCTCAAAATCGTTCTCAATGGCTGGTCCAGATGCATCCACTCCTTGTGACTTATGATTTCCAATGAAACTATATCGTTCTTTGTTATTACTATTCCTTTGTCTCACACCTCTGTTTATTGTCTATATTATACACTTCTACTTTCTTCTCCTGCTTTGTGTGCTACAAGGAGGGAGTGTGGCGACTTGAACTGCCGCACATATGTGCAGAGTTCTATGTCGAAAACCGACCGAACAACTTGGATTAATGTACCTATTAAAATGCTACTGGTTATTAATATTCACTTTTATTTCATATAGCTAATTAATTGCTGAACATTTTATTGTTGTCAACCATGTTGGGTGTGATATGATCCCCGAAAGCTAAACTATAAGTTTTTTTTATTTCCTTCACGTTCCCAGTGGAACATAGGGCTTCAAGCTGGTAGCTTGAAGTTTCTGTAGCAGTGTTTATTCTTACAGGATGGGGTTGCCAGCCTCGTGGCCGACCTTCCCTCTTTACCAGTCTTATTACTGGCTAAGTGAGGTAAGGGAGTGCGTTAGTGGCCGGGGATCGAACCCCGGACCATGTGCATGGTCGGCGAGCGTCCTAACCGCTGTGCCACCGACGCAAACTATAAGTAATTCCCTTTAATATTACCTTGAAATAAGAGTACTACACTTCAGCGCCGGCCTTGGTTAGGATTCTTAATAAAGTAGGAATTAGAGTGACATTTAAAACTACAAACTCACTCAGGTTAAAAGACTCTATTAACTGAATTAGAAAAAACATTGTAATCAACAAAATACCTCACAATGATTGTGAGGTGAACCACACATAAGTCAAACTAGTAGATCAGGGTCAGTAAGATTATCAGAACATGAGAAATTTACCTAATTGTAGAATGATTGACGCCACAAAGAAGAGTAATTTACAGAAATACTCAGTAATCGCACTGTACGGATGAAGACACACTCACGCGAAAGTGTGAGACAGTGTGACAGCTGTAAAAAGTAATATAGCCAGGGGCAGGGAGAGGCTGATCACTGAATCGTTGTTCATCGAGTCAACAGCTAACACATGCAATAGGAATGACACGGCATCAGTACCAGAGGAGGTATGGAAAATATTGCTATCATTAAAATGAAAGGATAAGAAATGGAATGGAATTATACAAAAGAAGTTTGGAAGTTATGTGAGTGTCTTACGTGATCAGAGGCAATTGATTATGCTCGAAACGTCATCAGTAAATAATACTGTACCATATAGGGACCTGTGTTTATAAATCTATCATGGTAGCACTGTGGTGAGAGCTGGCTACAAGCCAAAATTGTAGACAGCAATTTACGTCAATATTACATCCCGAATCGGGATCATGAGAAAAACAATAACAAAGCTTAACCTTGAGGAAATCACCAACCAATCACAGTAGACTTAACGTGTGCAAATACGATTCGCAGATATATGGCTTAACTTTCTGAGAAATGGTCACAAGCAGTATGGAATAAACTTCAGCAAGAAAAGAACCAATCAGAAGACGTTGCTTCTCCGCTGACAATCACGTACATAAAAATCTATAAATATCTCTTGATTTTCTCAATAAACGATCTGTTGTCTGACCCTTGTCTTCTGTCGTTACAACACAGCTGTAGATATTCATCGTCATGGTTCTATCTTTACTGTGTTTGTCCGATGTTACTTATAGACTGTTGATTATGTCATCACAAGTCTCTTGTCTCTGCTTTTATTATCTACTGTTCGATAACATGATATGAGGTGTGCCAACTTGGACCAGTTGACTGTCTGTCTATCTGTCTATTTTGTCAGTTCAGATGTATGAGTAAAACAAATTCACTTGTATAAATTAGTAACAGATAAGCGCGCGGAGGCGGGTCGGAAACCTTTGAGCACGACAAGATGGCAATTGATAGACATGTGAACGAGTTAACACATCACACATGTAAACTATGTACTCAGTTTACTCTGATAATGGAATAACCCATAACATAAATTACAACCGCAAAAAAGCGCATCTTATATTTCGGCTCATGCACAAAAAAACTATTTCGGCTACTCTTTTTTATTTAAAGTGTTAAATAGTAGATTTTTGCTTATCCAAAGGATATATGTAATAATATTCTGTGCCTAGTATGTAATTAATCAAAATTTACTAACCACTAAAATTGAAATATGCGTCTTTTTTGAATATATTTCCATATATATAATTTAAATTATATACTATGTTAAGTTAAATTTTGAAGCACGTGAGGAGTGTGGTCTTTTTTTAGTATTTATGAAGTATTATATATTGTGCAAGTATTATTTTTAAAACCTAAGCGTGTAGGCGAACGCACTGATCACATATCTGATCAAATTTGTAGATGGATGAAGAAAGCACTGTTTATCGATGTATGCACAAATATTTCCTACTAAAATTTACGTTAGTTGTTAGTCAGTAACCAGCGAAGTCTGGTAAGAGTGCAGTTACTCACATATGACATATATATAGCAAATCGGCAGAAGTTGGAGTTTATGGGCCATTGGATCGGGTCCTTGTGGCTGGATGATCTACGAGCTTACCTCTTAGGCGGAAGGCCTCGGGTTCGAACCCCGATGGATGCGTCGTGCTGATGAGGAGTTCCAAACTAGGACGAGACAACCGTCCAGTACTCCTAGGTTTCCCCAACGGTTCTCTAGTTGATGTCAACTCTCGATAAAACCTCTGCAACCTAACCATTTATAGTTAATTCTGTCTTCTTAAAAGTGTTTATGAAGTTAGCTGTCAAACTATCATTTTGTATCGCCATTTAAGTCACAATGCGTACTTGCCAAAATAATCTGTGAAATAGTACACTTAAGTGTATACTTACTTACTTTACTTCGGCTATCTCTTACGAGAGGATGAGCCGGCTTCATGAACATCTCGAATCATCGCTGCCCAGGCGCGGCGATCTGGTGCAAGGTTTTGCGACAGGGTTATGCAATTCTTGTTCCACAGACGGAGTCCGTAGACGGTTTGTAGCCCCAGGCACTCCATATCAGCCTTGACTGTACCTCGTTTGTAAGAGAGTTCATGAAGTTTCATGGGAGTTCAGTACGAGTGATGTCCCCAGAATCGCTCGGCCTTTTGTTTGAGTGCAGCTCTAGCCTTTACACAACCAAGTGTGACCTACAAGGCAGTAGGAGTGGAGTAGGGAGTCCACTATCCATTGGCAGCCGGTGACCGGAGTTCGGTTCATACGCCTTTTTGAATGGGGCCAGACATCCAGGACATCCAACAAGCCCTTTGTCCATACGTCTGCCGGTGAGCTCCAGTGAGCTTCATATGCCAGTCGTTGGAGGTTTGGAATGAGGGTTTAGCCATCTCCCCTAGACTGTCATCCAATGGACAGTGAACCCAGTGAAGAGCGCCGGGTATCCGCTTTCGCCCTCTCACTTTGGTGAAAAACACCTCCGCCACGTGAAAGCAGTGAGTAGGACTTCCTCAGGAGAGGCTATGTAAGACGCCCGGTCATATAGGAGCATTTCAAGAGGTGTGCGGGGGGGGTGGCCGACCCGCGGTGCAAGGCACCCACCCCCGACCATCCTGAGGCTTTGTACCTCGGTGTTGACCTAAATAACGTACAAATAACAACACTATATTTTCACCATAGGATAAAGTAGATTCCAAAAGTAATTATTATGTTGATGTGATTATCAAGTCTGGGTATCAGAGTTACTTAACTTCAAAGATTGTATATCTCTATGATGATTTGTCGCCATCTATAGTGTTTTTTTATTATCATGTAGACGAAACTAGATGAATGCTAGTATAAAACATTTGCTGGCCTTTTCACTAGAATAAAAATGTGTCTAAAATGAAGTCATAATTTGATGTGCTTGCATGGCTTTTATCGTCGGCAAACAAACTCTGTGTGACAGGTCCTAAACAGACGTTCTCTGAGCGCTGTAGATACTCATAACTAATCCTCTTTCTCCTTCACGTACATTGAAAAAAACCCAACGTTCACCGTAAAAGTGTTCTGGAAATAGCAATGGCTCATCTGTAAACAACGCTAATCTGTTTATCGCCTACCATCTTTATCTTGTTTTTCCTCCTCTAAATTTCAGTACCTTTCCTCAATCTTATTATAGTTGCCTATATAACCCTCTTTTCTATTAACTTTACGATCATCACTGACGACCTAAGTCGGGGAAACATTTTTCTCAATTAACTTCGCATCGGAGCTTTTATTGTTCAAACTAGATGCCAGAATGACAACAGTCCTCGCTATTACAAAACTGTGGTATCTGGGATTATGGTTGTACTGTGTGTTTCTGAGATGTTCAGAAAGGACTTCTGTGTGTGCTTATTTACGTAACTCCACTTGATTGAAATCCGGAGGTGTTATTCATAAATTTCTGAGGATTCCAATAAAATTACTCTTGAAGTACATGTCTGTCGAAACCTAGTTTCATAGTAGTTATTATTGACTATTGGTTTGCAATTATGTACCCGTGATAACGAAATACTTTAAAAACTATGAATATCATCTTGTCTACTGAAGAGACAACAGATTATCATGTAAGTTTCGCTTTATTCTGCAGAGTATTCCTTTTCAAATAACATAAATTGTCGGATTGTAGTTGTGAAGCGAGAGAGTTCTTCGCTAAGCATGCCTATTTTTGCCACACCACCTACGTACATTACCCTGGCTTCGACGAGTTTCCTCTACATTCGGTGGAATAGAAATAACTAAGGTCTATTGCAAATGCTGACTTTGATTTCGTTGGCATCATATCAGTCCTTGAAAGACCTATATTAAAAGTTGTGTCACTTTTTTGCGTTGAACGGCAATGTGTAGGGGCACTGACAGACTATGTAATTGTTTCGCGTCAGTTCCATGCATTGAAGATTTTAAGGGACATTTAAAAACGTAAATTCAGCCATTTTGGACTTTGTAAATATAACTTCAACAATTTCTCATCTTACATCTAGGAGGATGATATGAAAGTCAGCTTTCTTATTGTTCCTTTAGTGAAACATATTGGAATTAGCTACTCTTATCGTTTCACTAGATTCTACATTTTTGGTACAGTGAATTGGTTGCAAGTTATAATTAAGTTTCAGCTATCAGATCTAGGTATCCAGTTTTCAATAGTTCCGTAATCCACGTCTTGTGACTCAGAGATATGCTCTATGTATGAGTTTTTTTCAAGTGACTCTTTGCAGCTCTGTTTTCTACGAGAGTTTAATTTCTATAGGGAGTCGCATTATTATCACTGAGAGAAGGGGAACTGATCAACTTTTCTACTGGTAAATCTTTGAGAATATTTTTATTTCAGATTGGACATGAAAGGCGCGGCGGTGGCATAGCGGTAGAATGCTCGCTAATCATGCAGGTGGTTGGGGGTTCGATCCCGAGCCGACGCACTCTTTTACCTCGCTAAACCAGGAATAAGACTGGTAAAGAGGGTAGTTCGGGCATGAGGCTAACAACCTCATCCCGTGAAAATAAATGCCACTGCTACTGAAACTTCAAAGCTCTAGCTTGAAGCCGTATGTTCCACTGGGGAACGTAAAGGAATAAAAAAACATGAAAGGCAAACCCCTTTTTGGATAGTCTTTGGTGCAGAATCACTATGGTTTGTATGCATCAATGACTGTCTGGAAACTGGTAGTTATTCGCATATATTACGTGCCACTTTTTATCTCTTTTAATGGCTCTTGATACGAAATCCACCAATTGTAAAGTGCAATACAGATTTTGTTTCAGTGTCTGTAATGAACATGGTATTTGTTACCATAAGTGATACAGGTTCTATTGTCATTATTAGTCTTCCTATGCCCATTGAAGATAAACGTAGTTTCCATTTTTTAAAATCAATTTCTTCAATGCAATAAAGTGGCCATAATCAACAACTGAAATCGTTGGTTTTTCGACATCTAACAATTTTTTTGTGATATATACGTGACCTACTCATAAGTAGGCAAACTATTCATGGTTGTTTTTCAAGTCCTCAGTATTATGAAATTCAATGTTTTTCCTTTACTTATTTCAGTTTCTTTCTCATTATGATGCAGGAAACGTAGAGAAACAATATTTTTAGTGATGTCCGCCTAAAAATTACCTGGATATTTTGGCGGGATCTAGATTTTCTCAGTTAAAAACTTTTTTTGAAAAAGTCAACATTATGTCGTAGATAACTTTGTTGATAATTATCTGTTATTTTAATTAATTGTTTATCAACTTCACATTATTTTTGAAATTATTTGTATCCGTCTAAGAATGATCATTTATCACCTGTCGTGTTGTTTTCTTTACTACTCACTCAAGTTGTTACTTGTGCTCAAGCAAAAAACCTAATCGATGCGGGCGCTGATGGTTTGCGTGTTGGAATGGGTAGTGGGTCAATTTGTATTACTCAAGAAGTTACAGCTATTGGAAGATCACAGGCTAAAGCTGTTTATAAGGTAGGTCAAGTTTATTTTTTGAAGTCATGTTCCAATTTTGTATTGACTGTTGCTCAGTGAAAAATATTCAAAGATAAATTCAGGTGTCTTTGAACTTATAGTTGATGAAAAAGGCTCACCATCACGTGTTGTGTTTTATTGCTCAGTACTACATATCACTAATGTACTGCTCTCTGTTTTTTTCGTCGCTTTGCGTTCCGAATACAACACGGGGCTTCCGTCTTTTAAGTTTCACTAGTGGTGGTGTTTTTGTTTTACGGGTGAGGTGACTAACCTCACACCCGACATTCCCTCTTTACAGGATTTACTACCGGCTGAGCAAGGTTTAGGAGTGCGTCGACTCGGAATCGAGCTCTGGGAAACGTGCATGGTTGGCGAGCATTATACCACTGTGCTTAGTTTTTATTCGCATTCATATCCTATGCATGGGTGAAATTAATTAACTGATTGCAAAGTCATCAGTATTCAAATTGTCTTCAGAGAAATATTGTACACAGGGTTTCATGAAGAGTCAAGATGCAGTGAATTTATATCAGTTGAAGTGGTTAAAGATTGTGTTGCATGAATCTACGTCTCTCTGGATGTCAAAGTTTTGTGACCAAGTGTCTGTTGTGTTTGGTTATGCTCAATCTTGAAAGTACTCACTTACTTGTTAATGGTGTTTGATTTCTGCTTAGTGGATTGTACAGTTGAATGATATTTGAATAAAGAAAGAAGAAACATTAGCACAGAATAATCTGGATCCATTTTATTTCGTTGGTTATCATCAGCTGCGTACAACCTGAATTCTTTAATAAAATGAAAATAAAAAGGGTACAATTTTAACAAACGTTTGTCCATTAGCAAGCATGTTGTCAGAGCGTCATAGTAAATTAAGGCGTTGCGATTTAAAGGGTGTCTAAAGTGTTACGACATATATATATCTTGTTAGAGGGAAGTTTTCTGAAAAAGAAATTAATTAACAGTTGTATTGTTCGGGTGGTAACAGAAGGAAATTAGTATACCAATTCACATGTATCTGCAGGAGCAGTTACATTGGAAGAACAGAGAGGAGGGCCTACGTCAGATTCTGCGAACATGTACCAAGGAGCCTCGGGTTAAAGGGACCAAATTGTTTAAGCTCTTCAATCGCCAAACACCTGATTGACGCAGGACGCCGAGTAGATATGCTGGAATCATTCGAAATAATTAAGAGACAAAGTACCTCAAGTCTTCTCAGGTTTGCTGAAGCTATAGCAATAAAACAATTGAAGCCTGACTTATGTGTCCAAAAAGAATCCGTTGTTGGACTTCAGTTACCCTGGTGACTCACTTCTTAGTAACTCTTTGTTTTCTAATTTTGTTAACTTATCTTTTCACTCCCTCCCCTTTATTTTTCGCTTGACTCTCTTAAGAGATAATTTTTCTTGATCTTCTGAGTTCTGCTCACTGTATTACATCATCAACTTCTCCTCTGACCTCATGTGCACCGAAATTTTAAAAGTTTGATCTCTTATCTAATTACGTAATTATTACTAATTTTCTTTTGTTACCGCCCGAACAACACAACTGTTAATTAATTTCTTTTTCAAGGAACTTCTCTCTAACAAGATATATATATATATGTCGTAACACTTTAGACACCCTGTAAATCGCAACGCCTTATTTTACTATGACGCTCTGACAATATGCTTGCTAATGGACAAAAGTTTGTTAAAATTGTACACTTTTTATTTTCATTTTATTAAAGAATTCAGGTTGTACGCAGCTGATGAGAACCAATGAAATAAAATGGATCCAGATTATTCTGTGCCAATGTTTCTTCTTTCTTTATTCAAATTTATAAAAGGGATTTATCGTGCGTCGGTGGCACAGTGGTTAAGACTCTCGCTGACCATGCATATGGTCCGGGGTTCGATCCGCTGCCGACGCACACCCGATATCTATGGTCGGCCTGCAAAATTTGGGGTACCGATGTCACATGCTAAAAGTTCCATACCTGTACCAAAAATTACGGTGTGGAATCAAGCTGTAATCAAAATAAAAAAAATAAGAAAGATATTTAGTTAGACAGTGTGTTTACCATATATTGCATGTGCTACTGATTCAGATTCGTAAGTAGTATATTGTGTCTTATGTCTCCCTTTATTAATATTGAATATATATATATATATATATCGGAGCAATGGATAAAATTGCGAGCAGGGAAACTGACATATCCTTGTGAAACAGCATAGACAGCAGGGAATGTAGACAAAAGAAGCAGAATACAAATTCGTTTGGCAGAATATAAAGACTCAACTGTAGGTTTTTTTATTGTGTCGGATTTGTACATCATTATGCCAGATAAACAATTCTGCTACTAATTATTACCTTGTTCTGCCATCCCATTAGTAGACTTTTGATGATCGAGTAAAATAAGAAACAAAAACATCAAATCAATAATATGTCAAAATAATTTATATTTATCCAGCTTTTTGTCTGATAATAAATATGCGTTACTGAAGAAGACATGTGTATCTAATATGCTTTTAGTGTCTTGTTAGTTAATATACAGTTTTTGTTATGTACTCTTTTTTATAAAAAATAATATTCGTAGGTATCTGAATATGCTCATAAGTACGATATTCCTGTGATTGCTGACGGAGGGATTCAAAATGCTGGGCATATTGTTAAAGCTTTGAGTTTTGGTGCATCTGCAGTTATGATGGGTGGACTTTTAGCTGGAACAACTGAGTCACCTGGAGAATATGTATTTTCGGATGGTATAAGACTGAAAAAGTACAGAGGTAATGGACAGTAAAGATATGCCCTTTTTAGATGTTTTAATTATGTAATATTTTCTGTTCGTTTATCTTATGTTGTCGGCGGAGAAGGTCGGTTCGCCTGGAACACCTGTGTGAACGCCGATTATGCACTAGTCTGTACATATTTTGGTCGAGGGCTGAACGATCATAGGAAACAAGCAGCTTAAAAGCCGTTACGTGCCCAGTTCTTTTGATGAGACCTGAAAGCCTTTATTTGGAGATGAAGTCACTAACCCCATCCGAAAACGACAGCAATGTTCATCCTGAAAAAGCCTGTCATCATATTTATCCCCCTTAGAAAGATGAAAGGGGCTGTTGATAATCAAATGGTTGGTGAATGTTATTCGATTTGTGTAGCTTCATCCAAACTAGTGGATACAGAGAGATTGATGCCAGCTGGCTCCGTTGAAAGCTATCCAATTGTAAGATTACCTGTAGTTTTCGCACCGAACACGAAGACTGGTGTGTAGCTAAAGCGAAGGAGATGGAGAAGGAATTTTCAAAAGGTAATACCCGAAAACTGTTTAGACTAATTAAGAAAAAGAGTTATAAAAAGCCTATGGTTAGAAAAGGACTGAACCTCAATTACTTTTCAAGAGAGAACACTGGAATATTGGGGAGAATACTACAGTTACCGGTCACTGAACCATTGCCTGAATGGGCTGTAGACAGGTCTTCCATCTGTAGCCATGATCGCAAAAGTTGTCTTATATCTCAAATGAAGTAAAGCGGCAGGACTTGATGACATGATTTCAGTGATATTTAAGAATAGCGGTGGTGAATGATTGACCATATAATGTATGAGAATCCCTGATGGTTCCACTTGGTTTGTTCTGATTACTGACGATTTTACTTAGAATCTAAGTTTCTGAATTCAATAGTTCTGCAGAAACTAATCAGACTTTGGGTCTATATGTGGTTGTAGTGGTTATTTACCCACCCTTCGACATTTCTGGAATACAGACATACTTATCGCGTCCAGTATTTGCCATATTTCTTGACTTGATGATGATCTGTTATCCCATCGATGGAGAAGTAATGTGGCACTGTCTGACTGTGAAGGGACTACCAAGAATGTATGTATATATCAAGGTTCTGTGATCAAATGGCGAGGCCGTGTAAGAATTCATGCTATCCGACGTGAAGACAACTGATAGTCCCTTTCATGATGACTGCCCACTTACACCATTTTTATTTGATTTCATTATGGACACACGAGTTGAGGTGACTTTAGGGTCTTGAATCTTGGATTTTTAAAAATATTTTCGCGCTCTCTGAGCTTTACAGTTCAATTGTGAAGATTTTATTGTTATTCTTTAATACTTCGGAATAATTATTGTGTTTGTTATGGTGTACATTTATTATTATTATTCTAATTACGATTACTATGACTAGTATCAGTATTGGTATTATTATATTCTTGCATTTGTCCACAATCTCACTTCAGTCTGGAAATTATTCCTGTGGCTATTGATCACCATGTGTAGAGTATTCATTCAACATATTCGTTATGGTGTTGTGTCCTTTCTGAACTTCTAGGGGAAATTTAATTTGTTTCGCTTCATAAGCAAAAATGCACTCAACGTTAAATGATTTAATCTTTAAGAAAATTATTCAGACAATTCTCAAAATAATCGTTGTCAAGGAACTTAACCCTAAGTTCCTATTATTGGCGAAAACGCTCCAAATCGACAATTACTATGAACGATTATCGACTTTAACTGCAAAACGCAAGGACCAATAAGAAATTGTATTCTTCGGCAGTTAAATTCGATATCTGTACAAAGTCTATAAACAAGCGTTTTACAAGGAATGTATTGTACTTTTATTCGTATTCCTTCCTTCGTCTTCTTCCAACTTGTACACGATTGAATCATTCGCGCCTTCGAGTTGCCCGCCAATGGTGACCAAGGCCAATGTTCAAACGTTCAATGTTCACATTCATTTACAGTCGTATTAGATTTGACTAGTTAGTTACTCTGGGAAATTTGTGTATAGTTTTCATGGAATTTTCATTATGTCAAAACAATTTATTTGTTTAATTGTTTTTCAAAGTTTTCGGTAAAATTTGTGAACATCTTTATATTAACGTTACGAATTTTATTTGTGTGTGTGTATGTGTTTGTTCACACTTTATTGAAGCAATTTCATCCTGGTAGGTGTTACATACTCACATGGAAGGCGAACATGATGTGGTTAGGCTAGCTTAAAATTATCCAGGATTGTATTTCAGCTTTAATCAAAGTTGGGAGGTATCAGAAGCTTAATGTACCATATAATGAGCATCTGTCATTCACTGTGTCCAACTGTTTTCGGCAGTCATAGCTGTTAAATTAAGCCTAATTTGTGTAACATTTTTGAAAGAAAAACTATGAATAAAATCTTACTTTTATCGGTGTAGGTGGTTAAGTAAAAACTTTCTTAGGGTAATGGTAAACTAATCCAGTTGTGTTTCTCTGATAACTACTTCCCATTTGCGTAATTATAAAGTACACTAAAAAGTGTGGAACTGCAGATTTTAACCCTAAAAGATTATTTTATCTAATTCAATTTTAGATTTTCCCGTCGATTGACCGGACCGAAGTGTTCAGTCTCAGCTTCACATGTTGGCTTCTTGTGCAGATGCTTCGACGATGTCTGCGCATGCAATTTGGAGCCAATCGGTGGATGGTGGCTAGCAGTGGAATCCACAAGAAGTCGACAGACATGTCTACCTGAGACCCGAGCACTTCGGTCCAATCAATTGACGGGAAAATCTAAAAGTGAATTAAATAATTAATATGAGGTGGCTCTCGTGACACAAGTTGTCTAGTGGATAACGCTGTGGCGTTTGAAACTATGCGCACTGGGTTCGAGCCTCGGTGGGAACATCACCACTCACTGCGGAATGAAGGTACTTCCAGATGACGAGTCCCAAATAGGATGGAATGCTCATCCTGGATTCCACTGCTAGTCACCATCCACCAATTAATTATTTCATCTGTCCAGAATAATAATTCATTACTTACAGTCTGAGCTGAGTGGATGTGAATCCAGGCTGACCGACCGACTGAATATTTGCGATATATAACTTTGCACAGAAGTGCGGAAGTCCGAGTTGTCGCACTCCTTGTAGCACACAAAGGAAGGCAAAAGAAAAAAAAGAAGTATTCGAAAGAACGACAATAAACAGAAATGTGAGGGAGAAAGTAGAGTAACATAGACAAACAATAGATAGATCACAGAGGGTGAGTGAATCTGCGCCAGTGAGAACGATTTCAATCCATTGATCCTTAGAATCCCGAGGGCCCCAACTAGGCAGTCTGCGTCTCCCTACGTAGCTCAAACTAACTGCTAAATTTTTGATGGACTGATCCCTGGTTTTATTTGTTCAAGATGATCTTATGTCAGCTAACATTACTCTCCGACAATGTCCACGACTAGGTATACATAATAAATATCTTCCTAACCATCTCAATTGATCTAGATTTGTAACGGTAGAAGATGAAAGACTTGGTAAATGAATGTTCATTTGTGATTTAGTATCTTTACATGGCGAAATTATGTACACCCTATCTTAAAATCACTATTTGCACAGATCTGCTGTGTTGTGCTACTTCTCACCCTCCTTCATATTGTGTTTCTTTTTATTCCTTTCACGTCTCTCATGCATCTCCGCATTTCTGTCATTTGCTTTCTCTGATATCAAATCTATCTCCCTGTTATTTCATGTTTTTATGCTGATGAACATCTCTTTATACACGTACTACTGATAAATCTTATCAGTAGCACATGCCACAGCTTCACAACCTCATCGATCAGCTTTCCATCCCTTCCTAACACTACGCCCAACCTCAATGTTCCCCACCCTATTGTTATGTCACCTAACACGGGAGACAGAACGCAGACATCTGTTATCTAAGAGGAATCCATGCAGAAAAAGAGGTGAATAGCCATTGAGGAAGGCAGTTTACTGACTGAGTCCAAACGGTATACTCCCTATTTTCAACGGTTATTTGCCTTTTTTTCTGGCCCAGTTTGGTCATTGACCATTGTCTTCATTGTATTCTCTCGCGCAGTTGGATCTGGTTATCACTGAATGGAACAAAAAGAATTACAGCTTTTTTAAAAATATACAACAATGGTCAAAAATTACTTACTTTTTACTTTACTGCGGCTATCTCCTACGGGAGGATGAGCCGGCTTCATGAACAGAGAGTTCATGAAGTTTCATGGGAATTTGGTACGAGTGATGTCCCCAGAATCGCTCGGCCTTTTGTTTGAGAGTGCAGCTCTAGCCTTTACACAACCAAGTGTGACCTACAAGGCAGTAGGAGTGGAGTAGGGAGTCCACTATCCATTGGCAGCCGGTGACCGGAGTTCGGTTCATACGCCTTTTTGAATGGGGCCAGACATCCAGGACATCCAACAAACCCTTTGTCCATACGTCTGCCGGTGAGCTCTAGTGAGCTTCATACGCCAGTCGTTGGAGGTTTGGAATCAGGGTTTAGCCATCTCCCCTAGACTGTCATCCAATGGACAGTTAACCCGGTGAAGAGCGCCGGGCATCCGCTTTCGCCCTCTCACTTTGGTGAGAAACACCTCCGCCACGTGAAGGCAGTGAGTAGGACTTCCTCAGGAGAGGCTATGTAAGACGCCCGGTCATATAGGAGCATTTCAAGAGGTGTGCGGAGGGATGGCCAACCTGCAGCGCAACGCACCCACCTCCGACCATCCTGAGGCTTTGGAGGCCAAAACGTTTCCCTGTCAGCCATATAAGACAGACTCGAACGAGTTAACTTGTCCTTTGTGACGCATTTTAGCATAAGTATGATACTCTGTTATCGCTAAAAAAGTTTACTAGGGGGATAATACAGTTACTAAATATTTTTTTGAGACCAATTATTCGCTATAATTTTTATATAATGAATTTATACAGTTTTTCATTTTCTTTCCTAATGACGTGGGCATAATTAAATGAGGTATAATATCAGTTTATCGCTAATATGTCTGATGACAATAATTTTTGTCATAAAAGTTTTCTCATGGTAAGACACACACTTTCTGGAGGTAACTTTTATTGCTTATCAGGTAAATACTTGATATAATTAAATTGTGAAAGTGATATGATCGTTGCTTTTGTAAACATTTGGACTTTCTTACTGGCTTCATTAGGGTTTCTTTGAAATATCTGTGACGGTAAGGCGGTGAAAAACACGTTGAAGTTTATAATTTTATTTTCTTAATTCTTGTTAGTGTATCGTTTTCAAGTGTGTGTTGTTTCCAGACTAAAGTGTCTGGTTATTTATTCAACTGTATTTTTATTGGTAGAATAAAATTTATTAGTTTTGTTGCTATTATTCCCTTGGGTTCCGAGTTGGGCATAGGGCTTCAACAGCATTGGCTGGCTGGATTCAACATAGAACTTGGCACCGAAGTGCAGCAGTTCGAGTTGCCACGTTCCAAAGAGCACACAAAGGTAGACAAGAAAATGAGTGAAGAGAATCAATAGAGTTTTGACAAGTATAAGAGTGAAACAGAATGAGTAATGGTAGAAAGGAATATGAAAGATTACAGAGACTGGATACATCTGCGTAAGCCATTGACAACGATTTTGAGCCATGTCACGTATTGTCTCCAGCCATTGATTCTTAGAGTCCCGAGGGCCCCAACCCGGAAATCTGCATCTCCCTACCTGACTCAGTTTAACTATCAAAGATTTCATGGATTGATGAGGCCATGTTTTTGTTTGGCCACCACTTACTCTTTTCCAACCTGCACCTATATCAGCTAGTAATGCCTGTCGGGGGAGGCGATGGCTAGGGATGCGCAGCACGTGACCTAGCCATCTCAATCTATGTAACTTTATAGCCTCGTCGATTGATTTTCCCTCTTTGCCCAACACTACGCCTACGTCAACATTACTTACCTTATTATACCACCTAACGTGAGAAAGAGATCGTAAACATCTATGATCAAAAACAGTCAACCTTTTCATATCTTCAACTCGTATTGGCCATGTTTCAGAGCCATAGAGAAGGACGGAGCGAACTGCTGAGCAGTACACGCGTCCCTTGGTTGATAGCCGGATGTCACGCCTACGCCAGAGATGGTGTAAGTTAGCGAAAGCAGCTCGAGCTTTTTGGATTCGTGATGAGATTTCGTTGTCAATCAGTCCGTTGGTGCTGATACAACTTCCCAAATAGGTGAAGTGGTCAACATGTTCTATCACTTCACTCTCTATCGCTAAGCTAGGGGTAGACGTAGTCCCTAGCTTAGTGATTCAGCACATCTCAAGTGCTTAGTGCTTCAACAGCACATCTCCACTTTGCTCTGTCCTCTAAAGTTCTCTTCAGCTGGCCCCACGGTTGCCTATAATCTCTCATCTCCTCCTCACACAATCTCTTCCATGTCAGCCTCGGACCCCTTTTCAACTCACTTTGTATTTGGCTTTCATTTGCATGCCTGTTACCCGACGGTCTCCATTCTTTTCTATATATTTGTTGAGTAATAGGATCTTGATTTGTTCATTTCCATGAATTTCTTGTTGCTAATTCTTTCTGGCCAGCCATCCTCTCTTCGGTATGAAGTCAGCGAATGTACCTGCTGATAAAAGTCTGCAACAGCCTGTCGGAAATGCTCTTCGTGATGCGTACGTCAAGTTTTTCATCCAAAAGTGGCTTAACGTCGGCATTAAAAGTCAGGATTTCATTCTTTATTCTGAGTGCAAAAGATTTTCAAACTGATTTCGGAGTGATAAAGGTTTGCCTTGCTTTTCCAGTTTCGATTTTGACATCCTTATCCATATCCTATGCCTTCAGTTGAAATGATGCTTTCCAAATAAGTGACAGAGGGTTGATCTTGTTTGAATTCCTTCCGTTGATAGTGATTGGTGCTGGTTGTTATTGTTGGTTGGTTATCTCCATCACTTCTGTCTTCTGCGTGTTCACTTGAATTTGTTGCTTCCTCTGTCAGTGGCACATGCCACAGGTGACCATTTTTAACTCATATTTCTGTTATCAATCTCACAAACTGCTTTTATCTAAAAGTTTACAGTCTTATCACTGACTTGTGTTCGCTGCAGAAATTACTGGAATTCTAAGGTACAAGTGTTTTTTCCTCATTCCTTTACGTTCCTAAGTCGAGTATAGGGCTTCAAGCGTTGAAGTCTCAGTAGCGAATGGCTTTATTGCATATCCTCACTAGTTGTAGCGTCGTCATCCGTTGTTACGGTCATATTTAAAAAAAATATGCTTTTCAAATAAAATTTTGCTTTAGAAAAATGTTTTCTGGTGTACATATTGTCAGCGGCATTACATTCTTGAAATGCGTTACATTTCCTGCAGTTTTATCAGAAAATGTTGCTTGATAATGATATCTGCGTAATATAGTAGATAAGAGGAAGTACTAAATGAAAAGGCTAAACGTATATTATTGAATTTACATCAAATCATGCTGATATATTTGGCCTTTCTATTGAAACTCCCGAATTCCCACCGGGTGAAACAGGTGGAGCCACTTCAAGAAAGGGATATGTCATATAATCACCCGTTAGTAGCGATTTCTTTTTCAGGGGAGGGGTTACAACTATCACCTTCAATTCTACCACTTTTCCTTGGTTACTATCATCTGGTGAACTATTAGTGCACCAGCCGGGACCACATACGTTGTTGACTAGCATTCAACTACTGAACCACCGATTCCCCAAAGTACAAATAAATGGAAGAAATCCTTTGTCAAAATGCGTTTTTATTAAGCTTTCTGACACTTATCTTTCTTTTGCTATTCTTTTAGGCATGGGAAGTCTGGAGGCAATGTCTCAGCATACAGAAAGTCAGGCTAGATATTTCAGTGAATCGGATCGTGTTAAAGTAGCTCAGGGTGTTTCAGGAACTATTGTAGACCGAGGATCTGTACACCAACTTGTACCCTACCTAGTCGCTGGTGTTAAACATGGATTACAACAAATTGGTGCAAGAAATTTAACTGAATTGTATGAAATGTCACGAAATGGGAAATTACGCTTTGAATATCGAAGTCCGTCTGCTCAAATTGAAGGTGGAGTGCACAGTTTACATTCGTAGGTTCCACTTATATTTAATTTTATTAAACTGAATGATTTTAAATAAATCATGTTAATAATAATAATAATAATAATAATGTTATCATTAAACTGTTTACTTATTTACATGCTAATTTACATCTCACATCCGATTAGATGGAGTTCATTTATCTAACTAGGGGGATGGTAATAGAAGTTATTGTGTTGTTATTTTACACATGACTTTCTACAGGTATGGCGCTAACTAAGTGGTTGTAAGTGTAACTGTGTTATGTTCCGACATACTGGATATATCATGGAGAAGTTTGATAGCTCAGAAAGGATAATTCTGATGCAGTTGTGTTCTCTCAGCTGGATGGTTTATTTGCAAAAGGAGTTGTATACAAACACTATTCAAGAGGGCCAGGATTCATTGCAGCACTCCTACCTTAAGGAAAATTGAAGAAAGATATCTCATGGACGTTTTCCATGGGACTTCATCAAAAGGCATCTACCCCCAAGCCAACCTACCAAATCAAAGGTGCCAAAGGAAAACACAAGAAAAATCGCCCTGTCACATATAAAAGGCACCTCAGAAATCGCTGCAATACTCTTCAAACCCTTAGGAATTGACGTCATACAAAAACCAACAAAATCACTTCACTTAACTCTGCGTCAACCAAAAGACTCAACAACGAAAGAAGATAAAACCAACATCATCTACAGAATAAGTTGCAACGACTGCGAAAAACACTACATCGACCAAAGCGGACGTCCCCTTCGTCTTCGTATCCATGATCATAAACTAGCCATCAAAAGACATGACATCCACTCCCTCATATCGCTGCATCCAAACAAACATGGACATCAATTCGACTGGGAAAACGTTCAGATATTAGACAGAGGAAATACCAAGGATGCTAGGGAACTTTTAGAAGCCTGGTATTGCAGTGAATCGTCAATCAATAGACACATTGATACAGACAAAATTTACCAATCGATAAGTAGGAAATCTCACTTACAAAGGATCAAACTTCAGGTCAAGGAAACAATCAATACCAATACTTGCAAAAACACGAAAACATCCAACCACGTTCAGGGTCACTAGGAAAGATAACTAATAAACTCGTGGAGAAATTTGGCAGCTCACTTCAAATTGAAGTATGCGCTGAAGATGTCGCCTAGTAGAGTAGGCCAATGAAAGCTTCTCAAATAAACCATCCAGCTCAGAGAACACGACTATATGAAAATACTGGTTATAACCTGTTATAAGGCATTAAAGTAATTTGAATGCATGCCTTTATGGATTTCAGCATACTAAAATTATGATTGAATTCAAAGTGAAGAATTTGAGTTTTTGCAGGATTCCAATGAAAAGTGTCTCGAGACTTATCTTGATTCACGTTTTCGTTTCAGCTTTAATTATGATTATTATTATTACTATCAATTTCCTGTTATTTAGGCATCAATTCAAAATCTTAACTGTGTGCTTAAATAATGTAATATGGTTAATATTATTAGTCCAACCAAGATTAAAACGGAATGTTATTGCTTTCATTGAGTTGTGTTTAGTGGTTGAATAAAATGTTTTAGTAACTGATCAGTTCAGTGGATATTTAAATCGATATGTGTTGATATGGCCGGTAATATGCCCTGGTGAACTGCAAGTTATGTAAGCCTAAAGTATTACAGAAACCTTCTTTACAGGTAAGAACCAACGAGTTGGCAGAAGAAGCGCCGAAGACAGGACTTCGAGTAAAACATAGAGAAGACAGATTTAATGAAGATACCTAATCATCATCATCAACAACAACAGTAAGCGTCAATCACCACCCATGGAAGAAGGAAGGATGAAGGAAGTCGCTCCTTCAACTACCAGGCAACCGTACGGATGAGGATTTCAAAGGTGGGGTCGGAAAGGCAAGACAGAACTTCATTACTCGAAAATCAGTCTAGAAATCTGTTTCATTAAGCATAAAGAATAAAAGTCGTATTTTAAGCAGTGCTTTCTTATCAGTTCTTTTATATACTTCAGAGACTTGACATTTCAGCAAAAGGGTTTCTAGCGTGCGTCGGTGGCATAGCGGTTAGGACGCTCGCCGACCATACACATGGTCTGGGGTGCGATTCCCGGCCGACGCACTCCTTTACCTCGCTGAGCCAGAAATAATGCTGGTAAAGAGGTAAGGTTGGGCATGAGGCTAGCAACCCCATCCTGTAAAATAAACACTGCTACAGAAACTTCTAGCTACTAACTTGAAGCCCTATGTTCCACTGGGGAACGTGACGGAAAATAGAAAGAAGAAAAAAAGAAGAAGCAGTCTTCAAATTTTTATCAAGAGACCCTCTGGCTGCATAACGTTTATTAAATAGTAGACCACGAAGGATTTGCAACTAAGAACTCTGGGAACGTACCACAACTGACAACCTATTGCTTAAGAAACATGCCGAAGAAAATGGAGGTGGATTAGACACACGCGCTGAAGAGACCGCTAGGCGACAGTGTGCCTCAGGCCATCGAGTGGAACCCGAATGGGAAATTACAAGTTGGATGTCAGTCAGAAGGTGACATAGGGGAGGTCGTGTGGAGAGGAGATGAGATCTGACGAGCAATCTTGGAGCCAGGTAAAGGCGACTACAGAGAACAGAATGAATTTCACATACTCCGTTGAAACCCTATGTTCCACACAGAACCCAAGGGAATAATAGTAGCAATACAATACTGAAGTTGCCGTCCACAGTGTCAGTGACCACAACAACGCGAAAATAAGTCGAGAAGATGGACCATTGACAAACAGGTTTCATTGTCTTAAATAACAGTTAAAAGCTATGCTGGATAACATTGAAAGGCACTAAATTGACTGATAATTATAAAGTTAATAATCGATTATAGTCCAGCCTTCAAGAAGATTGGGGAACACAAAGACACCATGAGGAGTGTCTGAAGACAATAAATTTGAATTATGCTTAGGTCAAGCAGAAAAAATTAAGTAGAATTAGAGGTATACATTACAACAAGACATTTGAATATATGTAACTTAAAAGTAACACGTTCCTATAGTCAAATATTTATCAATTGAAATTTTTGTTTTCTTTCGTAGGTATGAAAAACGTTTGTTCTAATTCCACTGGTTCACCAGTCTGCAGTAAACGATCATCACATCGCTTGTCAATATATTCTGATGAATTATCTAATTTTGTGTGTACTCTGTGTTGTTGTATTTTCATGTGTGTATTTGTTTACTGTCGTTTAGCTACAGTTTGTGCAGTTATGCATGTGTATGTGTTTGTGATTCAGTTACCTAATCGATCCATTGGATGCTATTAATTTCTAGAGTTTTTTTGTATAGCTTATCATTTCAGTGTAAACTTTTATCGCAAGTTCAGAGCAGAGCAATAATGAAAAATTGAAATCGTTCCATTTTTTTTCTTTTATTTCTTCTGTTGTCCAAGACTGTCGCAATATATGCGGTTGATGGAGCACTTACTACCATATTGGAAATGATGATGTATCTGTAGTGCTGATAGGTACATAGTGTAGTGTAACGGGAACTGGCTTATTAAAACTGTAACGCAATGGGGGAAAGTGAAGGATAAGACTCGTCAGCTGGATGTACTTGCATTCCCCAGTGACTGATGGTGTTCCCAAATGGCATGAAATGCTCATCCTGAATTCTCTTGCTGGTCACCTTTCACCCAATTGCTTCTGAAGGTTGACCCTCACACATCTTCTATACCAGCCAGGTGTCAACAGAGACCGAATGTTTCGGTCCAATCAATCAGTCAATCAACAGAAAATGAAAAATTCGCTCAAATAAATAGTAATTGGTGCCCGCGGCACAAAAGGTGGTTCTCATGGATGGCACTTTGGAGTTTGAAACTATGGGTACTGGCTTTGAGTCGCATTCTGTGTGTTTGTTTTCGACATAGAACTTTGCAAATATGTGCGGCAGTTCAAGTCGCCACACTCCATGTAGAACACAAAGCAAGAGAAGAAAGTAGAAGAAATGCATAATATAGTCAGTAAACAGAGGTGTGAGACAAAGGAATAGTAATAACGAAGAACGATATAGTTTCATTTGAAATTATATGTCACAAGGAGTGGATGCATCTGCGCCAGCCATTGAGAACGATTTTGAGCCATGTCACCAATTGTTTCCAACCATTGGTTTTACCGTCCCGAGGACCCCAACCAGGAAACCAGTCTACACCTTCCTACTTGGCTGGCTTAAACTAACTGTTGTGGATTTCATTGACTGGTGCCATGTTTTGGTTTGACCGCTGTTAGCTCTTTTCCAGCCTGGCCCTATATCAGCTAACATTGCCCGTAGGTCGAGGAAGGCGATGACTAGGCATACGTAACACATGTCCTAACCATCTCAGTCGATGTAATTTCACAGCTTCGTCGACTGATTTCCCCTCCTTACCTAGCACTCGACGCCTAACCTCAGTATTGCTCACCTTATTATACCATTTCACATGGGAGATAGAACGCAGGCACCTATGATCAAAGACAGCTAATCTTTTCATGTCTTACGGCGAGTTGTCGTCTGAAGTGGTGACGACTAGTGGCGTCCGTCAAGGATGCCCATTATCCCCATTTCCATTCAACTTCATCATATATGTACTAATGGACTTAACCCTAACTCACTTCAGTGACTCAGGGATTGACTTGCTACTAGGGAATAATCTCGTTGAGTCGCATTGGGAACATCACCACTCACCGAGGAATGCACGTACATCCAATTGATGAACCCCGTATAAGGCGAAATGCATATCTTGGATTCCAGTAGTACTGGTCGCCATCCGCCAAATAGCAACTATTGTTCCTTGTGTGATTACCGAATGATCCTGCCACACTACAGGTGAAGTGAAGAGACATAGTAGCTGGGTATTTTAAGTAAGAATTAGGAATTCGTATACGAATACCAGGTAGACTGAGGAACCTAAGGTTCATTGCATCTATGATTTCATTGACAGCTAAGTGTGTGCATGACATGAACTGTCGGTTATTGCACTACAACTGTATACTTAGGAGTTTCTGCATACGATTACCAATCAATAAGGTATTTATTTAAAACAGCAGCATTGTGTTCTGTCTTGGTAAGATTTTATTATTTGTATTTGTGCGACGAAGGGGATATACAGTAACATGTAAGCATATTTGTATTAGATCGTTATAGCTTTCACACAGAAGCATCTTGAAGTCCTACTCACACTTTCTGAAGACTAAGTCTGGCAGTGAGAAATCAGCTTTAATGTCAGCGTTAATTAACTTATGAGACTTCTAAGTATCGTTGTTAGATTTAACATATTTTGAGACATTTGATTAATTCGATGAGATATTCAATATAAAGTTTGTTTGCTTTAAAAAATTGAATGTCTCTGTCTGGATTCAACATAGAACTTGGCACCGAAGTGCAGCAGTTCGAGTTGCCACGTTCCAAATAACACACAAAGGTAGACAAGAAAATGAGTGAAGAGAATCAATAGAGTTTTGACAAGTATAAGAGTGAAACAGGATGAGTAATGGTAGAAAAGAATATGAAAGATTACAGAGACTGGATACATCTGCGTAAGCCATTGACAACGATTTTGAGCCATGTCACGTATTGTCTCCAGCCATTGATTCTCAGAGTCCCGAGGGCGGGCCCCAACCCGGAAGTCTGTATCTCCCTACCTGTCTCAGTTTAACTGTCAGGGATTTCATGGATTGATGCCATGTTTTTGTTTGGCCACCTTTTGCTCTTTTGCAACCTGCACCTATACCAGCTAGTAATGCCCGTCCGTTGGGGGAGGCGATGGTTAGGCATACGCAGCACGTGACCTAGCCATCTCAATCTATGTAACTTTATAGCCTCTTCGATTGATTTCCCCTCTTTTCCCGACACCCAAAAATTGAATAAGGAAATAGAGGAAACACATGAAATAATATAAATGAACGTTTTACAAATTTTCATGTGCGGAAGTCGTGTCTGTTTAATAGAAGGGAAGTTAAAAAAAAGTAGTGAAAATACATGGTCATGTGGTAAGGGATTGTCGTAATAATGTAACGGGAGAAGATAAGAGACTTAGTAACGGAGCTTTATTAAGGAAAAACATCATATTTTTAAACATTCATAGGCATATTAAATTTAGGCTAGGCGTAAAGAGAAAAATACTGAGTCGCGTTATCCACGAGAGACTAAACGATGCACTGGCTGCAGAACAAGTTGGATTCAGGAGAAGCGAATCACGCCTTATAATCGAATAGAGCATAGATTGGCAGTCAAACCTAAACTTCATCGACTTTAAAAACGCCTTCGACAGCGTTGACCGTGACGTGATCTGTTAACTATTTCAAAACTATGGAGTTTTCTAAAAAGAATTTTTCACACTCATTGCACAGCTATATGAAATTGGGACGCGTCAGGTAATCTACAACAGAGAAGTTAGTGAGGCGTTTGAAGTGAAGACAGGAGTGAAACGAGGCTGTCTACTATCGCGGATAATATTCCTGATTGTGGTGGACTGGATTATGCAGCCCACTATACATGGAAATCGAGAAGACTGGAATACGTTGGGCCGAAACGAAGACTTTAGAGGATCTGGATGTGGCGAATAATTTGTGTCTAATGTCACATAAATTCGACGGCTTGCTGGCAGAATAGGCAGCGAAGGCAGGATTTCAAGTGAACATAGGGAAGGCGCAGGTGATGGAGACAATCAACCAACAAAAACACAGGGAGTCACTTCTTTGACATTTCCAATCAGGATTGTTTCAATTTTAGGTCGCACGGATAAAGATGTCAAAGGTGGGATCGGAAAGGCGAGGTACATCTTTATCACCCTGAAATCAATTCAGGAATATTCTGCACATAGCGTAAAGAACAAGAATTAAATTTTCAACCGCAGTGTTAATTCAGTTCTTCATGGGTCAGAAACTAGTCGTGTACGTCGCGAAAAGTATTTCTAACTGGTCACAGACGCCTTCACTCTCTGTTGGTCAAAAAGAATTAGCAACAAGAAACTTTGTGAGTGAATCACTCAAGAACTTATTGCTCAACAGAGATTCAGAAGCAAATCAAGATTGATGGGATACACTGTTGGGCCCCAGTGTGGAAAACGACGAGTTGTGTATGGTGACTTGGACGAGGTTGTGTGAGGACAGAATGTAATCTTATGGGCATTCATAGAGCCAACTGAAGACGATTGTAGAGAGCAAGACAAAGTGAAGATGTGGTGTTGAAGTCCTACGTTCCACTCGGGACCCAATGGCACAATAATAGTAGAGGAGAATTAGTTGTTATGATGGTTTGGTGATTGTCCCAGAGTTAAAATTGTTGTTCAAAGAGGTGATTTCAAGTTCACAATGTCAACTAAATCCAAACTTCGGGAAGAAACACTTCTACCTCTTCAGCCATTGACTTAAAACTTTTGATTTCTGTTTGAGCCGCTTCCTATGAATCTACAGCACTCTACAATAATACTCGTACTTGTAAAGTCTCTAAGCAAACGACAAGAATTTATCGAATGTAGTAGACCTTTACGATTATTCTGTTTCATCCATATTGTAGATTGGGACGAAATCAAAAAAAAGCAAAATAATATCCAAGTATCAATTCACTAGCCATCTGAGTGGATACTGGACATCAAAATGTTGGTAGAAGAATGAGTGAGAGATAAGTATAATGTTGGTAGTGCAAATCATCGAAGTGTGAACTTTGTTTCTTTAAGTATCATAGACTACAATGATCACTCTTAAATGGATGGTTGATTCATGTTCTTAAGGAAAAAAATAAACTAAGCAATCTCAATTAAGAAGAAGATGGGTTTTATAGGGATGTAATTTATCTCAGTGTAGACTTCGTTACGAATCGAAATTAGTTAGAGGATCATTGAAAACAAATCAGGGAGCACTGGAAAGCTGTTTTGTTCTAGTTTCTCACTCTCCTGCAGTATGCACTCGAGAACTTCGTCAACCATTCAGTCACTGGGTTGGAATACAATGACCCTACTGTCACTTCGCCATATAGGGCCACCGCAAACACCGTCACTGATGATCATATTCCTCACCGTGATATTTTTATTCCTTTGCGTTCAGAGTGGAACATAGGACTTCAAGGTCGAGCCCTGGAGTTTCTGTAGCAGTGTTGTTTTTTACGGGGTTAGGTTGTTGGCCGGAAGACCAACCTTCTCTCTGTA